TTCTTCCTGAAAAGGAGTGCCAAGAGAATAAGTTCAATTCAAGATAGCTGTTTTCCAATGAGAAAGAGAAAAAAACTAGAGCGGCGGCTGGATTTTTGTTTCCCCCACACATTGCAGAATGTATGGGAAGAAAACAATCTAAAGACTGGCGTGAAAGCCACAAAGTTACTCCCTCTATCTATTTAGTCCCTTGCTTTCCCATACTTTCACATTTTTGGTTGACCTACCCATCTCCAGCCCAGGGGATTCACTGTACATTTCTAAAGCATAAATAATGATGTGCTGTGCTGTAAAATAAACAGTATAACCAAGAGGCTCAAATCCCATCTCATGTAACTGCTAAAGTGATTCAGAAACTCCCACCAGAAGCTGCAGTCCCACCAGAAGCAGCTTATCCTGCCAAATGGAAGAAGTTGGCTGCGTTCAAAAAGCTGGTGGTATTTAAGAACTTAAGTCATTGAGACTTTTTCGAGGTTTAAGAAACCTCACTAAGCAGCATACACCTGCCAACGTTTGGTGGGTATGAGGGATGCAGGGATGGCATTTTTAATAAACTCTCCTCTCCTTCCCTGGCGCGGCCTTCTCCAACCTGGCGAGCAAGAAGCGGCGGTCCGTGGGAACGCTGGCCAGCCCTGGCGTGGCGTCGCCTGTCCAGATGCAGAAGTGGGACGGCAGGGAGAGCTGGTGCTTCGCCCTCGCCGTGCCGGAGGCAGCGGCACCGGGCTGGAACTGCGAGGCCGCCAGACGTGGGGTGGAGGACATGGATGGCCCTTCGCTGGCAGGGCAGAAGTAATCTTCCTGACTGATGTCTCTGAGCTGGGCAGCCAGTCTGGGCTTTAGTTCCATGGGAAAGAAGAATGTCGTTTCAGAGGGTCATTTATCACAACTGTCTTGGGACAGGCTCCCTTGGGTTCAGGTATCTCCGCCAGACCTGTCTGGCAGTAATCCAAGCGTTGCGCCATCAACGGTTGTGAAGATCCCAGCTTGCTTGCTGACCGAGTCTGAGGGGTTTGCACACCTCCAAAGTTGTTCTATCTCCCTTGGGCAGGCACATGCTACCGAAAAGCTCTCGATTACGGGAGTGTTTTGAGGGTCACGCCTTTATAAAGACGCAAATGGATCCCTAGGACCTGCAAATTTATTCCAGGGTGGATGGGAATAGCATAGAGAGGCAAAAGGAGCAGGATTGAGAAGGCAGTAAAGGCTCATGGAAAAGTTAGGAAGAGAGGTTTAAAAACAAAAGCAGGTAGATCTCATTTATCACATCTCTAAGAGAAGAAACGGAGAGGCACAGAGACGAGCAGGAGAGTGGAGAGTTTCCACAGCTCTACCTATCCTCTAGCAGTGTGGAAATATTTCACTGAACACGGCCTGGCTGGGAGACTTTGCTGCATCTCACCACGTTTCATCTTCTGGCAGCTTGTATCTCTGTCCCGTTTCCTATTCCAGCATGAAGAAATCAGTGACCATCTTGAGGAAAGGGTTCATTGACCAAAGAAGAGAAGAGAAGACAGCCCTGAAAAAAAAAAAAAAAGTCAGAGGATTAAAGAAGTAAGAGACCAGAAAGATCTTATGCAGATCCTGAATATAGGGAGAGAGACCGATCAGATTTTTAAGAGCTGGTACCTGGGTGCATAGCAGAGGCAAGAAGCCAGAAAACAGTTTGCAAAGCTGTGAGCTGCTGGACGGTCCCCAAGGCTTTGGGGCTGGGCACTTGGAGCAGCACCACTCTTGAGCGTGTCGAAACAAAAAAGGCCTATATTTCAGAGCTGTTTGTCTGTCTACACACAGGCGTGGGTTGTTCCTCCGTGTCTTTGACATGTCCACCGTTCAAATGGAGAGCGATCGTGCTGGTTTCTGTTGAGGAAAGGAGGAACAGAAAGTCGTGAGGGCTGAGTACTGCCTTCAGCCTTTCTGAGAAGGAAGATTTCCTTGATGCTGGTAATTTCTGCTATTCATTTATTCCTCCTCTGGCAGGCTGGAGCACGTTGTGAGCCTGGACATCTGTTGTCAATTGCCATTGTGTGATCAGGGTCAGACTGTTGAGATTAGAAAACTTATGCTGTTGGGTGGGATCATCAGGAGTGGTAGTCGGGAGTCTCACTTGCAGCAGGCAGTTGCGAACCCTGCTGGGTTTGCCCAGGGTCATCCCTCCCAATTGCCTTCAGTAGGCTGAAGGCTTGGTTTAGTTGCCGTGCACAGGCGTCCGTTGTCATTTCAGGTGGCCCATGGTTTCAAGACAGCCTTGTGCGGCTGGTATACCTGACAAAGGACCTATGGGAGCCCCATGCCCTCTGGAGCAGCATCTGGAGGCCAAGCAGACATCTGAAATGACACTAGACAGCTGTGTGCGGGCAACCGAACTGTGACAGTAGGACTCATCTCCCCTAACCTTAGGGATGAGGTTCACCCACTGGCTGGGACACCACTGGTGTCACCGTGCAGGTATTTATTTTAAAGTAGTCTCTAGACTCTGTTGACTGTATCGAGTAGGGGCTCATTTCAGTTGTCCTCATACCAGCAGGTCGTGCCATGTGAGACCTGCTAATGTACCAGCATACCAACACGGGGCTGAAAGATTGGACATAGACACGCAGAAAACCCATGCCTATTTGCAGCAGTTGGAGGCCAAGCAGGATTATCTGGTGCAGCTACAGTGGCGTTACGGGCTTATGTTTAGGCACTTAAATTGAGCATTAAACGTTGAATGACTGTAGGAGACATTTGGTCCTGCAGCCCATGCATTCAGACTGTGTCTTCATAGGGAAACGGAGTAGCTGTTGAGCTGGCACTGGAGTGTATGTGCTTGGTACCGAGCAGAGAATCACCTGAATAGCTTTAAAAATCTGAGCAGAGACACTTCTGAATACCGTATTTAGGCACCTCTCCGTATGTTCAGACACCTCAGTGCTCGTAGAAACCTGTCCCTAGAGACCTCACATCCTGGGAATTTCACATTCCCTGTTAATATTATCACCTATTACTACTGGAAGCTTCTATTCCCATTGTTTCATGCAAAAACTTGCTTTCCAGAACTTTGCTTTCCCTCATCCTCATTCCCAAACCTTCCCCTCTTCCCCTCTTCATCACTGCTAACAAACAATAGCTTCTCTGTCATGAGAAGACCTCAATTTCTGCCAAATCTTTGCCCTACATTCTGCATTCAAATCCTGCTGCTTCAGGCCTCTTTCCAGGGTCAACATCCCTCCTTTTCTTTCCATCCCCTCAGCTAAATTCTCATTTAGGCCCTCACCGCCTTCTGCCCTGACTAGTATGCTGTCACCTCCGTCACACTTTCCAGGAGTACACATCCAAAACACAGTCAGTAGAGCCATCTCCCTTGTCCTCCAGTGTACCCACGCTTCCACTCTCACATCAAATACACGTTTTCCATCCCCACTTCCGTAGCTCTCCCTCCATTCATCTCTGGCGATGTTGCATGTTATCCATCAGTATCCTCAGCCTTATTTTCCCATTTATCAGTGTCTCGCCAACCGCTCTTGATGCCTTCTTCATGTAGCCCCTGTGTACTGTAAGGTGCTTCCCAAGCTCACCTGATAGGCTGGCTCCCTACTGGGGTCTTAAAAATACAGAAATGCAGCTCTGCCATTCCTCTTTGCCATAGATCTTTTTGTTCTCGCTGTTTCGTATCACCCACCTGAATATCTAGAAAGCATTTAGCAGCCAGCGGTTGCTAAGAACGTTACCAGTAAAGCTACGTTTGCTGTCAAAACCTTCCCGCTCAGAGCTCTGCTCCTGAGGCCAGGCAGAAAGAAGGGGGGAAAGGGGAATTTCTGGAGCCCTCCCTGAGTTTTCAGATGAAAGGCAAGAAGGGAAGTGTCTTCTCTTGTATGTGATGAGCCTCCAAGGGCAGATTCAGGGTAGTAGGATGGGTTGGTCCCAGGAATTTAGAGAGCGGTTTAAACCTTTGAAGCCGGTCTCCTATTTTAGATGAAAATTTGTTGTTAGTTGTATCCACAGACAATATGGCAAAATGGCCGGTTGGTTTTGGGTCTGTGGTGAAGTCTTGGCTGGGAGGACTTCTGCATCCAACAGCGTATCGTGTAACGTGGGCTTCCTTTTCTGAACTTACTGCTCTTTCATTTCAGCTCGGTGTGCTGTGAGACCTTCTCTCAGGACCGTTCCTCTGAAATGTGCTTTCTCATAGTCCTCTTCAAGGTCTTCAGAGAGTTTTCCCATACCTTCGACCACTCAAATTGCTGTTCTCTGCATTGCCTTCAACTCACACCCTCTGGAAAATGCGATGACCGGTACTGCCCATTAGTTCTCAGGCTGAATAAATCTGAAGGGAACGGGCTTGCTTTTCAATCATATAATTAGCTCGGAGAGATTATGTTTAATACTTCTGAGTCTACTTGTCCACACAAACCAGCAGGGGCAAATGCAGAATAATCCACGTTGCTTTGAGCAGGAAGTTTGAATTGCTGTCAGGGGATTCGGACAGATACGTCGCATTTAACTGCTTCAAGTGTGATGTGGCTGTCCCAATTCCCTGCTACTGTGCTTGTTTTTACATAGTTTTCTGTAGAAAAATTCAGGTGGTGTCTGCCTGGGCCAGTGTGCCACAGCAGCAGATGCCTTCTTCTCAGCAGCATAAGCAGGCACAAAAAGCAGGGCTCCTCGCTCTCTGCAGCCACCTTGGCAAACCCTTGAGCCATCCACTTTTGCGCTGTGAATGAAGTATAGAAGGAGACTGATCTTGGCCAATAAGTCTGAAGCCGAGGAACGAATGCTGGAGCAGAAACTGCGGGTAGAGGACATGTTTACTTTTGTTCTGTCACCATGGGGAATCGTGCTAGCTGAAGCAAAGAGGTGGTATTACCCCAGAAATAGTTTATTATGGGAGGGAGGGAAAGAAGACCGTGCCCACCATCTACCTAGGTTTTTTGATAGTGTTAATATTGAAGGGGGAAAATAGATTGAGTCTTCCCAGGAGAGGAGTGGGCTTCAGGTAGGGTCCTTGCCCAAAGGACCACCCCCGTCCAGAGGAGATCCCAACTCCATCGTCCCTGTCGCCTACATGCAACAGTGTAAGAAAATAGGGTTTGAAAGGGCGGTTTCAACTCAGTCCGAGCTTCGCAGATCTAAATCCCAACCTCCGCACCAGCCAAACACCAGCCAGCCAGCAGGGCAGAGGAGAGAGCTTTTCTCTTCATTTCTGAGCAATTCTCTCGAAAATGGTGGTTGCAAAGAGTTAGATGTCCCTTCCTCTCCGTCTCTATGCAAACGTGCTGTTATCCATGATAAGCAGGAGAGACAAGAAGCCCAGAGAGTTACCGGCATCTTTGCCAAACTACGTCTTGTCTTTCTTTATGCTCATGCTGAAGCTCTGCTAGGTTAGACGTGAAATCATTTGAAGCCCTCGCAGATATTCCCTAGTTTAGTGTTGGTTTTTTCCCCTCTGTCAGGGACTAACTGAAATACCACGCTGGGTGTGCTGATAGATCTTAGGCGTGAGATTCCGTCACCATGGAGCAGCTCCCCATCGAGCCTGCCTGCGCTCCTGTCGGAGCTAAAAGTGCTTCCAGCCATGCGTCACCTCCTCCTAACCTGGACTTTGAACGTGAAACAGCTGAATCA